TACAAGGTGAACGGCCGTTGTTCTCGGGTAGTTTCCCAGAGGTAGGAAGCAGTAGCAGTGAAAGTTTGTGAGTTTTCGTGTAGTTAGTGTATCTGACAGAAGCTGATCCAGTAAAATATTGTAAGTCATATTTTTCTACTTATATTCCAAGAGTCACTGTTCAGGCCAACGAGAGATTCAGTTTATCGTAAAGAAAAGATATTCCAAGAGTCAATTTTCACTCAGGCCAACGAGAGATTCAGTTTATTAAGAGAAGAAGAAGCTAGCATAATTTGAACGATTCGTGCATTTGAAGGAGATCATTAAGGACGAGATACTTGCAATAATTTATTGTAAGATTGCTGATTGCTTAGGGAGCGGCCACGAGTAAATAGTATAGTCTACAAATAATAAGGATTTGCACCACTCATCATCAGAGAGAGATAGTTTTGTTTTCTGCAGTTTTTCTTTCATTGATAACACAATTTTTTTTTACACTTAATTTAGAAAGGATATAAATATTTTGATTAGGAGATTTAGAGTAATACTTGGATTTTGAGATTTCAACTAATATTGTCTGTACCATTAATTTTGATTGTTCACGTACGTAGAACAAAATTTTGAGAATTATTATATGAGATTTTGTTTATTGAAAACTTTTGAGTGTGAATTATTTCATTATTTTTATTTCAATATATAGTGTTAGATCATATGTGTTTTTTATTATTCCGGTATTCTTTGGACCTTACCTTTCACATGTAATAGCATAGATATTGAAGCACGAATTTAACCCTGAGATAAAAGAATTAAAAATTGTGATAGAGTCATAATCATATCATTTAAATAATTTTAATTAATCAAAAAAATTAATTAGCTAATTAGTTGATTGGCGCACTAAGACTTGAAATATCACAATAATATATATATATATATATATATATATATATATATATATATATATATATATACTTCATATTATGGCACACCACGAAAAACTTTAAGATAGTACATGAATGAAAGTTTTCTTTCACTTAGTAGATGTTTGTATGTGGAATGGCAACTGGTTGTTAAATAAAAATAGAAACACGTCAAAGAAAACAAGAATATCGTACCTTCAGTTTAGAGAGAAAGTGATCAAACATTTATTGGGACAAGCAGAAAAAAAGTTGTTGCGGAACACAACTTGAAAAAAGAAAATAAGCGGAAAAGTTGTTGATGGTGCAGTGCAAGCAAAAAAAGGGCTGTCACCTGGTACACATATCAGGAATGTAAGGAAGTAATAAAAATGGGGGTAATGAGAATGAGAGTATCTGGCCGGTAGATTATGAAGAACGCTTAATTACAAGGATAAGGCATCAGGGCCGTACCTATTTTATTTTTTTGTTTGCAAAAATAAAGATATTTAGCAAAATTCAAAAAGTTAGATTGCATTTAAAAATTGATGACGCAATAACATAAATAGTCAATTGATATACTAGTGAGTCACTGCCTTATAGTACCAGACGACACTGCATCACAAAAAGAAATAAAATAAAACCCAGATTTTGTCATTCATTCATTTGGTTAGATGCATTATAAGTCATGTTAAGTAACGACCTATCTGGATACTTAACATTGGGCTGATGTCTTGCAAAGCCTAAAACCATAACACACTGGTTAAATGAGCACAAGTACCCACAGTTCTCGCACCATATACAGGTACAGCAGTATCCGCTAATCTGATCTTGTCAGGCTCATATTCATCATGCTCTTCATCAACCATATAGAAAATTACTATTTGGTGTTTCATAGCTTATCGAAACCTAGAAAATATTAAAAGTGTTATGAGGTTCGTCTATATTCTCATTAGTTTTAGACTTGTCCTTATTGTCTCTAATTATTTTATCTTGTAAGTAGTTTTCTGAAGATAAGGCGGAACTACAGCTATGCAAGTATTGAATAAGTGTTCAGTATTTGTGAAGATATGATAATTTTTATATCACTTTAGCAGTACATTTTCTATCCCTTTTCTTCTGAAGAATAAAATACCATGTATCTGAAGAATAAATACCATGCATCTATTTTTGACCACTGATTCATGTTCATCATACAAATAAGCATCAAGAAAATATGTCTCTGTCCTTCAAAAACTTCATATTTTCGTTCACTTATCTGTCTGTAGAAACACGCCGGGTCAAAATGGATGCAAATTGCCCAAGATAGAGAGGCATGGAAGAAGGAGGAGGAGGCCTATATCCAAGGATGGATGTTAAGGGCTGTATAGATAGATAGATCTGTAAATAAGTGCTCTTGATGTACACTGAATACCTGAATCCAATAAGTTCAGAAGGCTGTAGCTTCAGAATAATATTTTTCATTCCTAGGTTCCATTGACTCTTTTAATCTATGCACTGAGAATTATCATTGACTGAACTTTCGTTTAATTTGACTGGGGTCGTTTTCCATAAGGATGGTAACAGGATCCTTTGAAGTGAATATAAATCTTTAAGAAACCCTCTATAATATTGCTTAATATAATTTTCTTGTACAATTACCACAAAAAGTTATAAGGCCAAAAGAAAATATGTTCCAAAATTTTTAGATTTTTTTGTCTATAAACATTCCATACATTACAGCTGCAATGAAAGCCAACACACAGATGGGGTGGGATTTATTGTAAACCGAAAACAAAAGGCCTTATTATTGACTCTATAGCCTACAGTCAAAGAATGTGCTATTTGTTCTTATAAGGGAAATTCTTTAATTACAGTTTGACCAATGCACATGCCCCAACTGATGACAAACCAGACGAAATAAAAGAACAGTTCATCGAAGACCTAGAGCAAGTCTACAAGAGATGTCCCAGAAATGACATTAAGATTGTATTAGGTGACATGACTACAAGAATAGGACAAGAGCGAGTTTTCATGCCCATAAAAGGAAAGCATAGCCTACACAACATCAGTAATGATAATGGATTATGACTGATAAACTTAGCAGCAGCACTCAATATGACAGTCACTAAGACCTATTTTGAACACAAGAACATACACAAGGTAACCTGGACCTCTCCTGATGGAAGAACAATCAGTCAGATTGATCACATCTTAATAGATTCGCGGCATGGAATAGACATAATACATTGCAGAAGTTTTACAGCGCAAACATAGACTCAGATCATTGCCTAGTGATCTCAACATTGAGGGCTAAAAGTTCAAACACTAATAAAGAAAATAAAATGGATACAAAAAATGGAATGTGCAAAAACTGAGAGATGTGACAATTGCAGAATGGTACTAAGAAAACATCACCAACAGGATAAGGAATCAAAATGTAAATGAAAAAGGCCAGATAGATATAGACTCGTACTGGACCAGAATAAAGGAAGACATTGAAGCAGCAGTGAAAGTGGAAATAGGAATAGAAATTTGTGACTGTAAAAATCATTGGTTAACAATGAATGCAAGAATGCAACAAAAGAAATTATTAGAGAAAGAGAAGAAGAAGAATTACCAGAGAAAGATAAGAGAAAAAAAGAGGATACACAAAAAAAAACCAAACCACCTAAATGAGGAACTTAGATATATAGAATACCTCAACAAAGAGAAAGAATTCAGAGCATTCTATGAGATAGTTAACATCAACAGACAAGAATTCAAGGCAACCACAACACAATGCAGAAGTCAGAATGGCGACCTATTAACAAGGAAAGATGTATTGAATAGATGGGTGGAATACTTTAACCAGGCACTTAATATAGAGCAAGAAGAAGAAAACCTCAAAGATGAAAGAGATGAGGTACGGGGAGCAGATGAGAGGGCAGAGGAACCAACAATGATTCTTGAAGTTAAACATGCAGTTATAAAGCTAGCCAGAAACAGACCAGTCGTAATAGATAATCTCTCAGCTGAACTATGTAAAGAAGGTGGCTATGATACCATAATGCATTACAGCAGCTTATAAAAGCAATATGGACACAGAAATCCCTCAATAATGATTGGAATATTGGCATACTTTGCACCATACACAAATTTTATTAAAAATGTATAAAATACTGACATTGAAAAATTAAATAAGTTGACAATCCATTTTGACCCTCAACTGTCTTCATTTACATTCTATAAAAAATATGTCATCCCATGACATTTCTAGTTTAAGGGTGATTCCAAATACCAACAGCTATCACTGGATTGTTAGCTGTAACAATACCAATAAGATAGATGTACATGAGATAATATTATTTTAGAACCCTAAATCATGTGGAGATAAAGAAACAGAATGATGTTTACAAAAAATATAATTTATATTTATTATAATATTATAACTTGTATTTAAAACTTATAAGACTTGTATTTATAACTTGTTATTAACTTGTATTTATAACTTGTATTTAAAACTCATACAAGAATAAAGAAGAGAATACATCTCTGAATACCAACTTTTTAGTATGAAAACAAAAATCTGTGGTAAATGATTGTTCAGTTTTAGCAGTGCACATAGATAATTGAACTATTTTAAGAATTAGAAATGTTTATTTTGTGTAAATATGGTTTTTTTATATAAAATTTTTATATTAAAATGTATAAAATTTTAAACAATTTGTATAAATAGTTCGAAGTATAAGGAATTCAATGGACCTATAAAAATCTATACTTATAGAAAATTAGTTTCAGATTCAGCTACAAATTTACAATTACTTCCTCATTTAAAAATATGGTTAAAATTCAGTATAGAGATTACTTATCAATCCCTCTTCACCAAATATGAATTTAGATAAAAGTTTCTAATCTAAATTCTTCAACTGATATGAAATTAAAAAATCTTAATTATATTAAAAAAATAGTAGAGTTGCTCTTTTTATATTAATAAATTAGTTTAAGTTTTGCCACAGTTTACAACTGTATTTATTACTGCAACTACATAGTGTTTGATTTTAGAAATGAATTGAACCTTACTTCTAGTTTGTTTTGAAAAGAAAGATAACCTCAAATTTTATTCATATCTAATTTATTATAATTAGTAAAAACATAGAGGATACTTACTTGCTTTTTAAGAGCTTGAGCTAGAACTGTATTTCCATCTAAGTCTCCCATTTTAAAAGTATTAAGAACAACCCAAGTGGAGTAGTTAACAAATGGATTTAAAATAGCACTGATTGTTTTATCAAGCACTTTGAAAATCTGATATCTACTATCTTTTAGAACTTTAGAAGTACCAACTCTTCTTTAAATTCTTGTTACAATCGTATCACAATCGTATGTATCAATCAAGAAACAAATCCATTTCTAAATTTGTTTATGAAAATATTAACTTTTGTTCATAGTTGAAAACAACGTTGCCACATATTACTACATTAAATAAAATGCCACCACATCAGTACATTATCATTATAACCCAGGGAAATAAGAATTTTTTCATGACACTCGTCCGGCCAGACAAACGACAGTTGTTTTGAGTAGTATGTAACTGTAAAGTCCGTGTCAGACGGTCAAATATTTGATCAAACTAGTTTGAGCAAACTGACGTAATGACGTCATAATTACAGTTTGTTCAAATTTTAAAAATCTACTTGTCACACGATCATTCAAATTTGATCAAATTTGGCGTATGTCAAGGAAATTAATTGTCTTTTTTGCTTATTTCATTAGTTGTTTGGGCTTTATTTACGATTCTAGTTTTTCTCATACACAAGAAAATAAATGGGGTGAAAGGATTTTTATAATAATATCGATGTTTGACATTATATAAACAGCTTCTTTCTCGGTATAAATCAATTATGTAGAAACTTGTTCCTGGCTTCAAGATATTTAAAATTTTTATTTTTATTTTATAACAAAATAGGAAGACAAATAAACCACACACTGTCAACCAAAAAAAAAGTAAATTAATTTAAATACGTTATGTCTAACTGCTGATTGTCATTTGACTTCTGATATTTTTCGACCAATCAAAATTAAAGTTTTATCAAACTGACCTTGAAAATAGAAGATCCTCTATTTTAGAGGATTTGATCAAACTCAGGATGTGACGTCATATGCTGTCAATTTTTTGGTTTGGTCAAACTAGTTTGATCAAATATTTGATCGTCTGACACGGACTTAACAAAAACCTATAATATGTTTCCTGCAGTCGATTTTTTGGACTTAATTAGTTATTAACAAATTAAGGTCAAAAAACGGAAATTTTTGCTTTTTTCGTCTATCAGCAAAAAGTGAAGCAATTTAAACAAATTTTAGAAGAGAGGAAACTTATAAGTTATATAAAAACCTTCAAAATAGCGTTTTCTAAATGTTTCTATCCTTATTTGTTGCTTAGAAAGTTGCAAAATAAGTCAAAAATTTCGGTTTTTTATAAATGTTAATAACTTTTTTGAAAATAAACTTATAATATTTATATTTCATGGAATAATGTATCTTGCAGTTCTTAAAATAGGGTTGAAATTTCAAAGTGATCGGTCCAATAGTTTAAAAGTTATTTTATTTGTTTATACCAAATTAACATTTTTTGCAACAATATAAGTCAGAAATTTATACAGTTTTAGTAATTCAAGGCGTAGTTTCTGGTAGTAGAAGACTTGTTTTATTATTTACATTAAAAAAATATTAAGAAAATGAATTTTAAATATTGCAAATAATTTGCAAAAACATGTCGATTTTTTGCTTATAAACAATTAGAATAACTTTTTAACCATTGACTGTAAAAATATTATTTTTACATATTTAAAAAGCTTGAATTTTTTACAAATTTAAATAGAAAAAAGTTTGTCCTAAAATAATTTGGTACAAAGTTAGCCTCTTTTTTTATTTAATCCATAGCACCTTTGTTTATAACACTTAAGAAATTTAATTAGCGCCATTTGAAAGAATATACTTTACAGTTTTAAAGAACTAAATTTTAAAAATATTGCCCTTTAATGGAATCGTCCACAAAGCTTCAAAATGTATGTAAAATCGGTCGGCTTTGAAATTCTCGGGAGCTGAAGGGAGGGGGAAGGCGCTGTTAACTGTATCTCTGTTCCTTTTTATGTATTTCAACGTTTATTTTTGAACTTGTATGTACTTTTTGCGTACATTACGAATATGCATTATTTTAATAAATAAATTGTCAAATAAATCACCTAATTTGTGTAAAAACAATTTTTTTTATTTATTTTTTAATAGTATTTAAGTTAGGTTTGAATGTAAAACAGAAGTATTTGTCATTTCCTATAGTTTGGAGACTAAGCCACAATTTAAGTTTATAATAAGTTTATTTTTGATGTTTCGATTTCTACTTCGGAAATCTTTCTCAGAATGCAGAACATTAATAAATTAATCAAATTTTGTTTTTGGTTACTTGGTAGAAAATTTTCTGATTTGGGTGATTGATTAGTGTGAGGAAGCTCAGTAGATCTGTTATAGTAAAAATTACAAAAAAAAAGTTGTTGACAAAAATTGTAGACAGCTTTAAACTCCACATTTTAAAATTAGTTACAATCTTACAGGGTGTTGTATAAGATGATGGCAGACCAAACTTATGTTTTTTTTTTTTTAAATAAAACACCCCGTATTTTATTTTAAATTTGAAATCTGCTTTACTTTCACATCACAATAATGTAAAGTTTTATTATGTTATACCGGATATTTAAAAAGTTATAACCAATATTACCTGAAAATCGTATCAAGTTTAACTCCCTGTATCATTAAAAAGGAGTATAGGACCATTGATCTATTGCATCCATAGTTTTTTAATAATTGTTAAAAATTATAAAACATATTCGTTTTCATAATATTCGTTAAATCAAATACAGGGTAAGTCAAAATGCAAGTACATTATTTTCTTGATAATTTTAAATAGAACACCCTGTATTTTATATCACTAGCGAAAAGTACTAATATCGTACTTCACATTTTATGGAATACTCCCTATACCTAAAGGTATCAATTTTCTAGATAAGTATTAATTTGGTAGATATTTTAACTTTTACCAATAATTATGGGAGTTGGCCATGATTGATTTGTCAGAAACTGACAGTTTGACATTATTGTTTTTTAATTCAGTAACGAGATAACGACACAGAAAGGAACCAATTTGTTTCAAATAAAATTATAAAAAATAACCGAGAGAAAATAAAAAAAATAACAACACATAAAGAAATAAAAAACAACTGTAATTTTAACTAATCATACTTAAGTAAGGTGTTCAAAATGACCTCCCAAAACATCTATGCATACTTGAAAGCGGTCATTGAAAGAGTTACTTACATTACTAAGCATTTGTAAAGAAATATTTTGAAATGCAATTCGGATTCTATTTTTATATCCCTTGTTGTTGAAGGTATTTTATATACTTCGCTTTTAATCAAACCCCAAAAAAAGAGTCCACTTTATTGAATTCTGGTGACTTTGGGGCCACCCCTTAAGATCCATCTTTCACCAAACTGATCTTTAAAATATATTGATACTAAAATAAACTGATAACTTTATGTATAGGGAGTACTCTATAAAATTTGAAGTACGATATTAGTACTTTTCGATAGTGATATAAAATACAGGGTGTTCTATTTAAAATTACCAAGAAAATAATGTACTTGCATTTTGACTTACCATGTATTTGAGTTAACGAATATTACGAAAACGAATATGTTTTATAATTTTTAACAATTATTAAAAAACTATAGTTGCAATAGATCAATGGTCCTATACTCCTTTTCAATTATACGGAAGGGAGTTAAACTTGATACGATTTTAGGTAATATTGGTTATAACTATTTAAATACCCGGTATAACATAATAAAACTTTACATTGTTATGATGTGGAAGTGAAGCAGATTTCAAATTTAAAATAAATTACAGGGTGTTTAATTTAAAAAACGTAAGTTTGGGCTGCCACCATCTTATAGAACACCCTGTAAGATTGTAACTAATTTTAAAATGTGGAGTTTAAAGCTATCTACAAGTTTTGTCAACAACATTTTTTTGTAATTTTTATTATAACAGATCTACTGAGCTTCCTCACCCTAATCAATCACCCAGAAAAGTTATCTTTTGATACTTGACAATTTATTTATTGAAATAATGCATATTCGTAATGTACGTAAAAATTAAATATAAGTTCAAAAAGAAACGTTGAAATACATAAAAAAGGAACAGAGATACAGTTAACAGCGCCTTCACCTTCCCTTCAGCTCCCGAGAGTTTCAAAGCCGACCGATTTTACATACATTTTGAAGCTTTGTGGAGGATTCTATTAAAGGGCAATAATTTTAAAATTTAGTACTTTAAAACTATAAAGTACATTCTTTCAAATGACGCTAATTAGATTTCTTAGGTGTTATAAACAAAGGTGCTATGAATTAAATAAAAAAAGAGGCTAACTTTGTACCAAATTATTTTAGGACAAACTTTTTTTTATTTAAATTTGTGAAAAAATTCAGGCTTTTTAAATATATAAAAATAATATTTTTACGGTTAATGGTTAAAAAGTTATTCTAATTGTTTATAAGCAAAAAATCGACATGTTTTTGCAAAATTATTTTGCAATATTTAAAATTCATTTTCTTAATATTTTTTTAATGTAAATAATAAAAAAAGTCTTCTTCTACCACAAACAATCCTTACAATTACTAAAACTGTATAAATTTCTGACTTATATTGTTGCAAAAAATGTTAATTTGGGATAAACAAATAAAATAACTTTTAAACTATTGGATCGATCACTTTGAAATTTCAACCCTATTTTAAAAACTGCAAAATACATCATTCCGTGAAATATAAATATTATAAGTTTATTTTCAAAAAAGTTATTAACATTTATAAAAAATCGAAATTTTTGACTTATTTTGCAACTTTCTAAGCAACAAATAAGGATAGAAACATTTAGAAAACGCCATTTTGAAGGTTTTTATATAACTTATAAGTTTCCTCTCTTCTAAAATTTGTTTAAATTGCTTCACTTTTTGCTGATAGAGGAAAAAAGCAAAAATTTTCCCTTTTTTGACCTTAATTTATTAATAACTAATTAAGTCCAAAAAATCGACTGCATATAGGTCTTTGTTACAGAGGTCCATACCATGATACTATGACTATAAGATAAGATATTGCGCATGTTTTTG